GAACCCAAGAAAAGAAGGAGTGAGAAAGTAAAAATTTGAAGAAACACTTGTAAAATATCTGACTTTGTGAGAAAAGGCAAAATAAGAATAGTGAGAATACCAGAGAGAAAGAGAAAGAAACAGAAAATGTACTTAAAGAAGTAATGAAGGAAAACTTCCCAAACCTAAAGAAGGGGATAAAAGTACAAATCCAGGAAGCTGGAAGAACTCTGGCAACCTAGATAAAATGAGATAAATGTCAAGACATAGATTGATAGCAGTGAAATTTCTGGACATTCAGAACAAAGAAAAAATATTGAAACTGGCAAGAGGGAAAAAAAACAGATAAACAACCTAGTTTATCTGCTTTATAAAGTAAACCAATCAAGCTTCAGATTTCTCTGAAGAAATACTATGAGCAAGGGGAAAATGGAATGGTGTGCTCCCAAAAAAGAGAGAAAATTGCCAACCAAGAACAAGCTATCTTGGAAGGTTCTCCTTCAGAAATAAGGTAAGAATAAAGACTTACTCAGACTATTGTGATGGTACAAGTGTGAACTGGTGGTGGAATTCCACAGGGATTACAATCGAGATGGAAAAAGGCACAAAATGAAAAATTATGTAAAAATAAATTAAAAAAAGAAAGAAACCATCAACAATGAAAAAAGAAGTAAAGCATTGGAAAATAATCTTACAAGCAAATTGGACACCACAGAAGACAAGAGTAGTCATACTTATATCAGACAAAATAGATTTCCAGTTAATAAAGGTAATATGAGACAGGGAGTCACTACATGATTTAAGGAACAATAAACCAAGAAGTCATAACAATAATCAACATATATGAAAACATGAAGGAGGAATTAAATAAATTAGGCATCTAATATCAACTCTGAAAACAAGCGCAGGAGAAAAGACATTTGTGATAGGAGACTTTAACACCCCAGGACAGATCAACTAGACATTCAAAATTGAAATACTTTCAGACAAATATTAACAAGGCCTAAACTAGCCTAAAATAGAGAATAAGACCTCATGGACCTCATAGACATATAAAGGATATTGCCCCCCCAAAAAAGAAGAATATACATCTTCCTTAATTGTACATAGCACACTCATAGAATAGATCACATCCTGGACACACAACAAAAATCAACAAATCATACCTAGCATCTTCTCAGGCTATGAAGTTATCGATCTAGAAATCAATTAGCAAAAGAAATCAGGGAAATTTTTTAATACATGGCTATTGAACAACACATTACTAAGTGACCAAGGGGTCAAAAAGAAAATTTGAAAAAAAAAATTAAAATACCTCAAGAGAAATGAAAACAATCAAATTTTCTGGAATGCAGCAAAAGCGACAATAAGAGGAAAGTTTATACAGTAAGACTGGCTCTGGCTCAAATATACAACCTTCTTTCAAGTTGAGGAATTAGAAAAATAACAAATTCTAAAGCTAGTAGAAGAACAGAAATAATAAAAATCAAAGCAGACATAAATGAAATGGAAACTGAAACATCCAAAAGATCGACAAAACCAAAATCTGGGTCTTGGAAAAATCAAAACAGAAAAACCTCTAGCACAGCTCAGCAAAGAAATAAGGAAGACATATCAAATAAATGAATAAAAACAAAAGAAGAGCAATCAAAACAGATTCAGAGGATAACTGAGACCACTGTGAGCATCCATATGTGAACAAATTCAATAACCTACAAGAGACAGACATATTATAAAAATTGTACAATCATCCAAGACTGAATAAAGAAGAAACAGAAACCTTGAACAAACTAATTATAAGCAAGAAAATTGAAACAGTAATCAAAACCCCCAGGAACAAATGGTTTTACAACTGAATTCTACCAAACCCTCAAAAATTAATTAGTGCCTCTTTCTCGAACTCTTCCAAGTAATCTAAAAAGAAGGAATAGTTCCAAATATTTTCCATGAGGCCAACATTACTTTAATACCAAGACTGAACAAAGACAAAATAGGGAAAGAAAATTACAGAACAATCTCCCTAGTGAACGCATACACAAAATCCCGAATAAAATCCTAGCAAATCAAGTCCGACAATGTATTAAAAGGATAATACATTATGGCTAAGTGGGATTCAGATCAGGAACACAAGGATGGTTCAACATCTGAAAATCCATCAACACAATTCACCACATCAAAAAGACAAATATTAAAAACTATATGATCATGGGCCTCTCTGGTGGCACAAGGGATTAAAGTGAAGCACTGTCAAGCTATCCACAGCCACTGAAGCACAAGATGGATCCCTGAACAGAGGGGGTGACCCACATGGCACACTCCTGTCTCACTCAGTACTCCCCTCAGTAATGTACTTCAATTAATGTGCCTGTTCTGCTTCCCACTCTTTCTCTGGTGAATCCTCTCACCTCCTGAACTTCTGGCCTTTATGTTCTTGTATGCAGAAATAAATAAATCTTTTTTTTTTTAAGATTTTTATTCATATAGAACTGGGGTACAGGCCAAAGATGCAGAGGGTGAGAGGATTCACCAGGGACAGAATGGGGAGCAGAACAGGCAGATCTATGAAGTACACTGCTGAGGGGAGCAGTGGGTGGGTCAGGAGAGGTCTGCCACGCCATGTGGTCACCTCCGGGGCAGAAAGGGATCGAACTTATGTGGAAGTGGCTTAGGCTTCTTAGTACTGTGCTTTAACCCGCTGCGTGACCAGGGAGGGCCCATAAATAAATCTTTTTTAAAAAACTATATAATCATATCAACAGATGCTGAGAAAGCATTTGATATAATCCAATATTCACTTATTTTGAAAACTCTCATAAAACTGGGGATAAGTGGACATAACTTCACATATAGAAAAGCCATTTACAACAACAAAATAAAAACCATAGATGATATCATTCTCAGTGGTGAACGTATGAAAGTTTTTCTAATATGATCTCGTAAAAGACAAGGCTATCCACTCCAGTACTACTATTAAACATAGTATTAGAAATTTTAGCCATAGTAATTAGGCAAGAGAAAAGCAAAAAAAGGAACCCAAATTAGGAAAGAAGTAAAACAATATTTACAGATGAAATAATAATATACATACAGAACTCACAGGACTCCACTGAAAAACTAATTTAGATAATAAACCAGTTTAGAAAAGTAGAAGTTGTAAAGTCAATATGCAAAAAGCAAGCACTTCCATTAACACAATAAGATATAAGAATAATAAATTTCTTAAATGATCCCATTTATACTTACACCCAAAAAAAATAAATACCTAGAAATATACATAACAAAGGAGGTGAAGGACCCAAATAAATAAAAGTATAGCACACTGCTGAAACAGAATACACAAAAAAATTAAAATATACTCCATACTCACGGAGTGGGAAAAATCAACTTTGTCAAAATGGCCATTCTACCCAAGTATTATGTAGATTCACCTCAATTCCTATCAAAATTGGAATAGTATTCAAGGACATGGAACAAATTCATATGGAACCACAAAAGACTTAAATTTCAAAGCACTTCTCAAAAAAAAGAGGAACAATGGTGGTATCACACTTCATTTCTCAAACTATACTGCAAAGCAATAGTAATTAAAAAAAAACAGCAACGTAGCAGAACAAAAACAGATACACATGAATAGAATAAACTAGTTTCCATATTTTAAACCACACCTATATGAACAATAATTCTATCACAAAGGCACCAAAAACATAACACTAGAGAAAGAAGTCTCTTCAGTAAGTGGAGCTGGGAAAACAGAACAACCGAATGTAAAAGAGTGAAACTAGATCACTATCTCATACCTTATGCAAAAATCAGTGCAAAATGGAGAAAATATTTGTACATAAGACCTGAAACCACAAAATACATAGATGAAAAAGGCAAAATATTTCACAATACATGTTGAGGAATATCTTTACAGATTCATCTCCAACAGCAGGAGAACGTAAACTAGTGGAACTATATAAAACTAAAAAGCTTCTACACAGCAAAAGAAACTTTTACCAAAACAAAAGACATCCTGCTGAATGGGAAAAAATATTTTCCCAGCATACATCTGACAAGGGCGCTGATACCAAAGATCTATACTCATACACCTCTACAAAAAGAAAATATCCAAATTTAAAAATGGGCAGACAAATTAAAAAGACGCTTCTCCAAAGACATTGCCAACAGGCACGTTATCACTTATTGTCAGAGAAGTACAAATCAAAACCACAATGAGAGACCATCATATACCTATATAAATGGCCCATATCAAAAAGTCTAGAAACAATAAATGCTGGTGAGGATGTGGAGAAAAGGGAACCCTATGACACCTATGACAGTGAGATGCAAACTGATCCAGCCCCTATGAAAAATAGGATGAGGCATCACAAATTATTAAAAATGGATTCATCACATGAGCTAGCAATTCCAATCTTAGGTATATACCTGGGAAATATGAAAATACTCATTCAAAAGGATTCACCCCTACGTTCATTGGCACGGCTAGGTTTGAATACCGGCAGCAAAATTATAAAGTGTAACACTACCCATTATGGAATCGTCTCCTTCAAGGTCTGAGCATATTGACCATCTGCATAAGTACTAGAAAAAAGCTTAAGCTCACCAGTGATGTGATAACAATGTTGAGATTGCACTCTTGCCTTTAATAGCTATGTGATCTCTGATGCATCACTTTTGCTCCATGAGACTAATTCCCCCCATGTAAAAAAGAAGATCCTAATATTTTCTTTACAGAGCAGACTCTTAGGAATCCAGAGATAATGTAAGTAAAGTGCTGAAGTCTAAGATCTGAATATTCTCATATTATTGAGAATATGGAATTCCTCAATATGGAAAAAACATTGCAAACAATATATAATTATAGTCAATTATATTTACCAAAAAAAGTGTTTAAATTCTGAATAACATTGACAGCAAACTATAGATTGTCAATATACTTTTTTAAAACACTTTTACTCTGATATACAAATCCCCGATTACAACCTAGGTAGCCAAATGACTTCCAGAATATACTGTACCTCTTTGATGATTTTCACCCCTTTGGGATCCTTGATATTAACCGCTATGCTCTAAAAATTTAAAATATATACATTAAAATGGATTTATAAAAGTTTTTCTGATTACTGATAGCTCAATAAGGGAGACATTCTATAAAGCAAATGTATTTTCCTGATAAAGAAAATATTCAAGTCATCATTACTGAATTTATTTGCAACTTAGAATTTAAGACAAGAGCAAGGATTACAATAAAATTATTTTAATGACAATTATGAATGTTAATCAAATGATAATTCCAAAAGACTAATAAATACAAAGAAACAAATTATTTTTCTTTAATAAAAGTATTTCCTTTTTAAATTGCTATAAATTCTCATGAAATGATTTAAGTTGGTAGAATAAGAAGATGAGTAAAAATCACTGTTGTTTCTATTTAGTAACTGGCAATTGAATAAGATTTCATCTTATTTGAAATATTAGTTGTTTCTATGGGGGGAAAAAAGGATTTTAAAAGCCATGATAATATCAAAGGTTAGCTGTTAGCAAAAAAATTATATAAAATAAACAAAGGGATGGTACTCTTACTTTTTTATTTCGATTAACACTGAGAAAATAAGTACTTTCTGTCCCCACAAAGGGTGGCCCCCAAGTTCGGGTATCATCACCAGCTCCTGAAAATAATAGTATGATCTATTAATCTTTAACTCTGAAACACTGTGAGACATTTCAAACCAACAAGCTCACTGGTATCATTCACAGATGTCTGAGTCAGTTGAATTCATGGGAATTAACAATGTAGAAAGGGGCATTACATCTTGTTATCAAAACCTCTAAATTCTTCCACATACTTTTTCAATAAAATCCATCATTGGAAGTCAAAACCAATATCCTACTGCCAGTCTTCAGTTTTGGCACGTCAAATTTGAGGGGGGAAAAATATTTCTCTCACTTTGGCCAAGTAAGTTAGTCAATACTTTTGTAGTATCCTGGTATTAAAATGCAAATAAAATAGGTATGCAAAAGAATTTTGTTATATATAACTTAAAAATCAGAAAAATAGTAAGTGAATCTTTATGATAAAGGTGGCATTCGAGTCTAAGTACAGAACAATGATAAATTTTAAAATATTAAAAAATTGTGCAGTAACAACAAATCCAAAAAAGCAAAAAAAGTTACAAATTAGCAAATACCAATAATTAAAAATACTGTTTTAGAAAAAAATTTTAGTCATCTGTGTCTTGCTTTAAAGTACAAATTTAAAACCATCAACAAACAGTATTTAGGGTATTTCATTCTGAACATCTACTGTCAGTGATTGTGCAATGGATATGCATTTGATTCAGGACAACACTAGAGTTACAGATTTTGCATATAAACACATACTGGAATATTACTCAGCAATCAAAAAAGACTTATGCCATGTGTGGCAATATGGATAGAACAGGAAAACGATCATGCCTTCCTTTTCCTTTGCCTTCCCTTTCCCTGTAGTGACAAAGTGTGGTCAGGAATCCTCTCAGTCTCCAGGGTAAGGCTTGTGTGACACTCAGGGGAGCTGCAATCAGAGCTGACTGTCTGGATAGTCCCTACTAGCTGGGTGTCCTTAAACAAACTGCTTTATCTGTGTCCCTGATTTCTCACTAATAATGCAGAAATAATATCAACCCTAGGATTATTCTAAAAATTAATTTCTTAAATAAATTAAATAAAAGAAGAATGATAAATACAAATAATGGACATTTACTTTTAAAGAGAAAAGCAAAATATATTTAAAAAATAGACACTAGAAATAGAATTAAAGTTTGTGAGGTTAAGAGGGAGAATGAGTAAAACAGGAATAAAGGATGGTGGTGATGAAAACAGAAAAATAAACTCTAAAATTAACATAAAAGAACATAGGCAAAGTGTTTAGAACTATGCCTGACACAAGTATTCTTAGTATCTCTGTTACTATATATTGCATCTCAGCTTCCGCTGGGGCATTTAATTTCCTGTGAAGGACCTAGCTTAAGCCTCAACATTTGGCTTAATCTAACATTAGTATTAATTAGTATTAATCTAACATTAGTATTCAGAAGAAAACAAATAATGGAAAACAGAAAATAACAATTTCATTTCAATTCTTTCCTCATCTCATATATAGAGACACAGATATTTAAAGAATTATTAACATTGTTTATTAGTTTATGTGTATGGCTTTCAAGGGTACAATAGCTTTACCTGGTCTTTCCACTTTTATAACTTCTGCTCCAAGATCTCCTAAATTCATAGTAGCAAAAGGTCCCGCCAGTACTCTATATGAATAACGATAAATGAATTAATTACCATTTGAAGATTTTTATATTAATTTGTTTCTCAATAGTCCTTCAATACAGATGAGCTCATATAGTACTAGTGAGGATCAAAAATTATTAAAACAGCTCTAAAAGTAATTTTCCCATATGCACTAAAGGCTTTAAAGGGTATACTACCACAATTAAAGTGTCTACTGAAAGAGGACTGAATCAAGAAAATGCAGTAAATATACGAGGAATGCAAGTAAAGGAATACTATCCAACCACAGGGAAACATGAAATGCTGCCATTCACAGCAAAATGGAAAAAAGTTCAAGAAATTCTATGTAGCAAAGCAAGGAAGAATGACAACGACAAATAGTGGACATTAAAAAAAATGCATTGAAAAAAACACTAGCAAGAGAATTCAGGTTTTTCAAGTTAAAAGGAAGAATGAGTTAAACAGGAATAAAGGATGGTGTGATTAGAACAGAAAAAGAAATAAACTCTAAAGTTAAATAAAGGAAAACAAAACTATATTTAAAAATATATTAAAAATAAATCAGGCCCTCCCTGGTGGTGCAGCGGGTTAAAGCACAGCACTGAGAAGCTAAAGCCACTTCCGCATGAGTTCGATTCCCGCCTGCCCTGGAGGTGACCACATGGCAAGGCAGACCTCTCCTGACCCGCCCGCTGCTCCCCTCAGCAGTGTACCTGCCTGTTCTGCTCTCCACTCTGTCTCTGGTGAAGCCTCTCGCCGCCCCTGAGCCTCTGGCCTGTACCCCAGCTCTGTATGCACAAATAAATAAATCTTTAAAAATAAATAAATAAATGAATGAATAAATGAATAAATAAATAAATAAATAAATAAATAAATAAATAAATAAAAATATTTCCTAAGTCAAAACTTATGCACAAAGGAACCTAATTTGTAACAGTAAATATTTGGTGACTAAGTAATTATTATGGATGATTAATTCTGTGATATTATAATAAAGTATCATCTTATATTTTTGGTTGAATTTAGAATGGCAAAGAAAATATTCAAAACATTATGTTTAAAATGTAGCTAAAGCTATAATTTGAATATAATCACAATTTTGTTTTTAAAATTATATATAAATTAGAAAGAAATGCAAAAATATTATGCTAATGATCTCTTAAGATGAAGAAATTTCAGTAATTTTCCTTTCCACAAAATCACAATAGTAAACATCTAAGCATCTTCTTATATCCCAAAAATTAAATTAATTTTGTTGAAAGGAAAACCTAAATCACCAAAATATAATAAACTAATACCTTGTTAGATCCAGAATTTTTACACCCTTCAATGGCTTCAGATTGTTAATACCTGGAAAAGTACAGAAAATATTTGAAGAGAATTGATTACTAAATTTTAGAAAGAAGAATACATAACTTCTGGTATTATTTTAAATAATCTCTATTATTACCAAAAAATTTCCTTTGCATTATTTCTGCTACATATATATGTATATATATTTAAAACACAGAAACCTTAAGCTGATCCAATTCAGTCAATCTGTAGAAGCTAAATGTTTTAATACCAGATTAATTAGTCAATTGATAATACCACAGTTACACTTAAAATATTTTGCTTAATAAAAAAATATCTGGGAGGGGGAAGGAATGAATAGGCCAAGCACAAAGAATATTTAGGTCACTGAAAAAATTCTGTAGATGCAACAATGAGTACATATACATATACATTTGTCCTAAATCACAGAGTGCACAACAAAATCAGTTAACCCTCATGTAAATGATGGACTTTGAGTGAGTAGAGTATGTCTATGCAGGATCACGTATTGTAGGAAATTTACCCACTGGTGGGGGATGCAGGTAATGGGGGATACTATAGCATGTGGGACATGTTATAGCACTCTGTACCTTCCTCTGAATTTTGCTGTGAACCTAAAAATGCTCTTTTAGAGAACTGAGGTCTTTAAAATACATAAATAGTATTGGAAGTGCTAGCTAGAGCAAACAGGCGAGGAAAAAAAAAGAGATAAAAATGAATTCTACACGGGACTATGGTGGTGGCACAGGGGTGATTTGGTGATGGGAAACCCGTGGGGATTACAATTGAGATGAAAAAAAAATGTGCAAAATGATGTAAAAATAAACTTTTTAATAAAAAAAATGAATTCTAATTGGAAAATAAGTAAAATTACCACTATTTGCAGATGACAAGACAATACACATCTAAAAAATAAAATAAAAAAAAACTGGAGTATAAAGCTCCTGGAAATAATAAATAAACACACAATCAGTACACAAACATCTCTTGCATTTGCATGTATTAGAAGACTGAGAAATTAAGAAAACAACTTGGTACATTTACAATTGCACCAAAGAGGGCGAAATACCTGGGAATAAATTTTTAAAAGTTGGCAAAAATGTATACACTGTAAACTGTAAGATACTGTCAAAAACAATGAAAAAAATAAAAAAGACACAAAGTTATGGAAAGATATCCTGTGTTCATTGCTTTGAAAAACAAGTATCATATCGTTAAAATGGTCACATAACCTAAAGCAATTTATAGGTTCAACACAATATCCATTCAAAATCCCAAAGACATTCTTCAAGAACAAAAAAAAGTCTAACATTTGTATGAACCATAAAAGATACAAAATTGCCAAGTAAATTTTAAAAAAAGAAAAACAGAAGTATCATACTCTCTGAATTCAAATATACTTCACAGTGAAAGTAATCAAAATAGCATAAGGGCAATGCAACGAAAATCTCCCAAGAAGATAATCAAATGGCTTGCAGGCATAAGAAAAAAACAACATTCCTCATTATAAGGGAAAGGCAAATCAAAACCACAATAGGATATCACCTCTCCCCGTGAGAATGGCCCATATCAAAAAGAATGGAAACAACAAATGTTGGAGAAGAAGTAAAAAGGAACTTTTATCCATGGGAAAATGGTATGGAGATTTTAAAAAATAAAAATTAAATTCCTGTATTATACCTCTAATACATACTTATCAAAAAATATGAGAACTCTAATATGAAAGGTTTATGTATGCCTATATTCATAGCAGCACTGTCCACAATTTCCAAATTGCATAACCAACCTAAATGCACATCAAAAGGTGAATGACTTAAAAAAATATGAACTATATATACTCAATGACATGCCACACACAGCTATTTTTTAAAAAGGAATACAAAGGTTAAGCTACATATTTGTGTAATACTGCTTAATTGATTATGTGAACAATTAGCAAAAAAAAATTAAGTGAAGACAAAAATATTTTATAGAAAACCTCAACTATGCTTTTTTTTGTTTGTTTGTTTTCAATGGCTAATGATTGTTTATAGTTTTTCATTTGAGAGTATACCTTCATCACAGAAGCAGAATTTGAAATTAATTAGCAATTAATCATAACAGCATGCCATCCTACGTGATTTATACAGTAACTGCCGGATTATTTTTGAAGCCTTGAAGGAGAATAAGAATTGCAAATCAGCATTTGACAAATAAGCAATCTAGTTAAAAGGCTACCAATGGCACCAAATGGAACAGAAATAAAAATAACTGTTTTCTAAAGTTAACAGATTATTAATACAAAGCAAAAATCTTGGAACATAATGTAACTATTTCAAACATATATTGTATATACAGCTCTTAGTAGAGGGCTCAGTTCAACAAACTTATTAGTTCTTCTTAAATGTTCAGGGGATATGTATGGAAGACCATTCTATTTCCAAAAAATTTACAGTATGTTGAAAGGGTAGGCCAGAGTATTAAGCTATCAACATAAAGAAAACTATTGCAGAAATACTAACTTTGTTGAATCTTTCACGCTATTGAATTGCCTTTTAAAGGGAAAGAGATAAATTTAAAAAATAGATGATACTGACACTGTGCTTTTTTTTAATGAAGTAATCATTGTTTTTACATCTTTGTAAGTATTTACAGTATAGAATTTCTCCCCTCCGGTGTGCACTCCCACCCCCAAAGCACCATAGTCCTCCACCATAGACCATTGTGCTTTCCCCACCCATAGCTGGATACCTCTCTGTTTGGTTCATCTGTGTAAGTAACATCATCTAGCATTTATCTTTCTCCTCCTGGCTTGTTGCTTAACATAGTCACTTCAGTTCCATACATATTGCTAAAAATGGTATGAATTTATCTTTTTTGATTGCTGTGTAGTAGGCCATTGTTAATTGTAAAGATATTTTCACATCATTAGAATGAATGGACAAGTAATTATTTTTGTTATATGTCTTCAAAAATACTGGTTTTCTATATTCAGGTCTCTTTTAGGATGCCTGCCTTATTTTAAATGTTGCACAAAATACTTATGAATAGGGCCCTCCCTGGTGGCGCAGCAGGTTAAAGCACTGCACTTTGAAGCTAAAGCCACTTCCGCATGAGTTGGATTCCCACCTGCCCCGGAGGTGACCTCATGGCACGGCAGACCTCTCCTGACCCTCCTGCCACTCCCCTCAGCAGTGTACGTGGACTATCTGCCTGTCCTGCTCCCCATTCTGTCTCTGGTGAATCCTCTCACCACCCCTTTACCTCTGGTTATACCCCAGTTCTGTGTGCATAAGTAAATCTTTTTTTAAAATACTTAATAATATCTTTACTTCATAAATCTCATTTCACTACTAATAATATCCTACAACAAAATAAACTAGTAAAATTTAATTAGTAATACTTAAATTTAATTCACTTAATATCAAACAACAGATTTTTGTTTTTATTACCCAAGAAGACACCCATAAAAGACTTCTAGAATACTTTAAGTCAAAATCAATGAACAAGTTTTTAAACAGATAAGATCATGAGCTAGGAAGACACTGAAATCAATTCCCTGCTCCACTAGTCAACTTATCCCAAGTGACATTGGGCAAAGCAACTTTCTAAACTTCAGTTTCCTCATTTGAAACATCTAGATCATAGAATTTGCAAGGATTAAATGAAATAGTGAATGTAAAGTGCTTAGAACACTTCCTAGGATATAATAAATGCTCACTAGAGTTTTTAATTGTTATTGTCATCATCATATATGTAGTATACAGTCACACCACCTACTGAAGGAAAGATCTTAATTTGCATTTAAAAACAAAAAATCATATGGTTATTTTTCAAAATAGGAGAAACGATTCTCAATATTCTATATTAAAAGGCTATCTACATTTATATTTTGCCTATTTAAAAAGGCCAGAATTGGCTAAATGGGAGTGAGATCACTACAGGGAGAAAAACATTTGAAAAGGGCATCATTAATTGGACCTATAATGTAATCTGTTGAACTACATTGAACACCTTGCATTTTATTTGGTCTTTAGGATGGAAGTCATTATGATGATACAGCTGACCAACAATTCAAAGAAATATAATGAAGCCGCCATCAATTCCTGAAATGCTTCAAGAACTCCCCTGACCCTAAGGCTTCCGTGACACAAATAAACCTTTGCAACACTAGATAGGAGATATGCCCATATAAGTGCCCATACAAGTGCCTCATCTGTGTGACAATTACAGTATCGCTCACCACACTGCCAGCCAACCACAGAGACAAGGAAGGAAAAAGGGTCAAGTCATAAAACTGATCAAATAATAAATAGATCATGTGCTATACATGAAGGGACTTTTGATGTTTTACAGAGCACTACCAAAATTTTGGAGAAAAAAAGCAAACGATGGATATTTCTTCAAAGCATATACTCTTAAACTGCTCAAGCTTTTTCAGTAGTTAGTATGATGCCTTTTAACACTCTAGAACACTTGAAGAAGTTCTGTTCCTAATAGTATAGTTTGCAAGGTAATTTTTGGAAAGGGTGGAGTACTTGAAAAATTGGTATCTACTAGAAGACATGTGAAAGAAATTAAATTTTTGAGTTGTAGAAATGTCATCTGAAAGTGATGCTAAAGTTATAAGGCAATTACACCATTTAAAGGCAAGCAAAGAACAATAGTTGAATGTATAATAACTAATGATAATTTATAATTCACCTGCTGCTACCCAATTTCTTAAGATCTGTTTTACCCATCTAGAATTTAGCTATTACTTTGAAACTTGCCATCAAATATATTTTGGAATCTGACTGTTGTATGACACTATTTTAATGAAAATTCTTAGACATATACAGAGAGAAAACTAGACAAAGGACTTTCGGATTTGGGGTAAAGCTGACACACCAAAGGACAAATTAGTGTTAATCCCAGATCACTCGTCTACATTTTCTAGCTTCTCTCAGTTAGGTTAGGGTCAAATGCTGGGGTCTAGTCAATGAAATACAGGAAAAGTAATACAAGCCAATGTCAGGGTGATCCTTTAAAATTATCCCATGAGAGATGCAAATTAA